TGATTCTCCGTTGGATTTCAAGGCTGACATTATTATTGGTGTTAATGCTGGTTCCCAAATAAACGAAGTCGTCTACTTTTTTAAACTTGTAACTGTCAACAGTGACGTGGGTGCCAAGACGCGTATGCTCTGACTGTTTGTGTGCTGACAGGAGATACTTCGTTTTGTCCTCGTTCACCACCAGACCCATTCGCTTTGCTTCTCTATCCAATCCCGAGAAGGCAGAACAGACGTAGCTCTTGTTTTTACCGATAATATCGATGTCGTCGGCATACGCCAGCAATTGTACGCTCTTATAAAGTATTGTGCCTGAGCGGTTCAGTTCTGCGGCTCTTATTATCTTCTCCAACATAAGATTAAAGAAATCACACGAAAGGGAGTCCCCTTGTCTGAAACCTCGTTTGGTATCAAACGGCTCGGAGAGGTCCTTCCCTATTCTGACGGAGCTGGTGGTATTGCTCAACGTCATTTTACACAGCCGTATTAGTTTCGCGGGGATACCAAATTCAGACATCGCGGCATAAAGGCAACTTCTCTTCGTGCTGTCGAAAGCGGCTTTGAAATCGACAAATAGATGGTGTGTGTCGATCCTATTCTCGCGGGTCTTTTCCAAGATTTGGCGTATTGTGAATACCTGATCTATGGTGGATTTTCCCGGCCTAAAGCCACACTGATAAGGTCCAATCAGCTCGTTGACGGTGGGCTTCAGTCTTTCGCACAATACGCTCGATAAGACCTTGTAACCTATGCTTAGAAGGCTAATTCCGCGGTAGTTGGCGCGTATGGCGGGGTCGCCTTTCTTGTGGATTGGGCAGAGCACACTTAAATTCCAGTCGTCGGGCATGCGTTCATCTGACCATATTCTGCATACGAGCTGATGCATGCACCTCATCAGCTCCTCGCCGCCGTACTTGAATAGCTCGGCTGGCAGGCCGTCAGCTCCAGCAGCTTTGTTGTTTTTCAGCCGCGTAATCGCTATTCGTACCTCGTCATAGTCAGGCGGTGGGACAGCTACTCCATCATCATCGACTGGGGACTCGGGTTCGTCTTCCTCAATACTTTCAGCGCTGCTACCATTCAGTAGGTTATAAAAGTGTTCCCTCCACAATTTAAGTATATTCTGGACATCGGTCACTAGGTCGCCATTGTTGTTCTTACAGGAGTTCGCCCTGGTCTTGAAACCTTCCGTAAGTCGCCTAACCCTCTGGTAGAATTTTCGGGCGTTCTTCCTGTCGGCCAGCATCTCAAGCTCTTCGCACTCACGTATTTCGGCCTCTCTCTTCTTATTGCGGCAAATACGTCTCGCTTCCTTCTTCAGTTCCCTATAACGGTCCCACATGGCTCGCGTTGCGCCCGATCGCAGCGTGGCCCTGTAGGCGGCATCTTTTTTCTCTGCGGCTTCTTGACATTCCTCATCGTACCAGTTGTTCTTTCGGGCTCGCTGAAATCCAACTACTTCTTCGGCGGCGGTACTTAATGATCGGGAAATGTGGTTCCACTGCTCGCGTACGTCGGATTGTTGAAGAGTGCTCTCAGAGAGCAGGTGTGTGAGTCGAGTGGCGAATAAATTGGCCGTCTGTTGTGATTGCAGCTTTTCGACGTTAAGCTTTCCTTGCATTGTTGGGCGCACATTTTTTGCTGGACAGAGGCGGGTGCGTATCTTGGCTACAACAAGATAGTGATCCGAGTCGATGTTTGGCCCTCGGAGTGTACGTACGTCCAAAACGCTTGAAGCATGCCTTCCGTCTATCACAACATGATCGATTTGGTTTCTCGTTTTTCGATCTGGAGACAGCCATGTAGCTTGGTGGATGTTCTTATGCTGGAACCTAGTACTACATATTACCATATTTCGGGCCCCGGCGAAGTCGATCAGCCTCAGTCCGTTATCGGACGTTTCGTCGTGGAGGCTGAATTTTCCGACAGTGGCGCCAAAGATCCCTTCCTTGCCCACCTTGGCATTAAAATCGCCAAGCACGATTTTGACATCGTGTCGGGGGCAGCGCTCATATGTACGTTCCAAGCGCTCATAGAAGAGATCCTTGGACGCCTCATCCTTCTCTTCCGTCGGGGCATGGGCGCAGATGAGCGAGATGTTGAAGAATCTAGCTTTGATGCGGATTGTGGCTAGACGTTCGTCCACCGGGGTGAACGCCAGTACTCGGCGACGGGGTCTCTCTCCTACCACGAATCCAACACCGAATTTGTGCTCCTTTACGTGGCAACTGTAGTAGACGTCGCAAGGCTTCACGCTTACTTTACCTTGCCCCGTCCATCGCATTTCTTGGATGGCGGTGATGTCAGCCTTTGTCTTCCCGAGGACATCAGCCAGCCGGGCAGAGGCACCTTCCCCATTAAGGGTCCGGATATTCCAGGTGCATACCCTTAAATCATAGTCCTTTATACGTTTGCCGTGGTCGTCATCAGAAAAAGGGGGTCTCATCCGAGGCTTGTTGGAATTTTTCATTGGGCGGGGTTTTAACGTGGCGGGACCCAAACCCAGCGCACGCGAAGTTTTACGCCTTCTCACTTTAGCTCGCTCCCAAACGGGTGTTTGGTTGCTACCCAGAGGATACGTGGATATAAATATCCGGACGTTGTGAGCTGCGATTTGAACCGTACGCACAAGAATCGCTTCTGGCCACTCCCAGGTGAATGGCAGTCAAAAGTTTTCCACTTCTGCGCACGGAACCATCCTCCATGAATGTAATGCACACAAATTAGTATGAAATTTTCTTTAGAAATATTTACTTCACTGGCAAAAACAAATCAAATGTCTATTTGATGACTTAAATTATTGGGCCGCCTTCCTATGAAGCTATACCGCCGTAAATAATTCGGCTTTGTTGTATTTGTTTGCGTTTTATTAACTAAATTATAAACTTTTTCTTATTTCCCGGTTGTTTACTCTACCACGTGGCTTGAACAAATGTCATCGCCGGCGCTGTCAAAACGTTCATTGTAGCAAGAACACACGCCACTCGCGCTGCTCTCAAAGCGACGCCAACGCCAGCGCAACGCTAAAGTTCTATGTGGACGGGCTTTAAGAGATGACACGAAAGACCGTAGTAGGGGTGCCGCCTTTGTTCTCACCTATTGCGGCATTTTTGTTGTCCGCCGTATGATGGCAATGGCAAGTCCATGGTGTTGTTTGTGTTTGCCGTGCTGGCGACCGCTAAAGCGCCCAATTCGCATCTAGAATGATCGGGCCTTCGCCAATTGATCGGGCACCAACAACACCGGCGCTGACACTCCAACGGTTTGCGTGCCGGTGCGTAGGTTGCGGCCTGGCTCGCAACTGCGTGCCTGGGCAGATCTGAACGAGCATCGAGTCAGGCAAAACCCGTATTGCGTACATTATTGGCAGCGGAGGTTCTTTTGGTAAAAACAATTTTTTTGTAAAGTGCCAGGCGAGGCACTATTGCAGCGAGATCCTGGGACAGCAGCGTCGGTCGAATTCAATTATATGTATGATAACTGCGATGGGGTTTAAATGTATGAAGAACCACGTGGACTTTTTCTTAACTTGTAAATTCACATTAAAACATTTATTGAGCTACTAAGAATTTGACAAATTAAAAAGTACAAAAAAAAAATATCAAAGTGACAGTTTCACATCTAAACGGCGTTGCCATAGGTGCGCAGCAAAATAGGGTAACCAGCTTCACATATCTGCTCGGCGTTGATGTTCCCTAGAATATCATCAGTTTATAACATGCGGTAATTGACTTGACCGGCACCGTTGCATATAAAAACCTTAACTTAAAACAGAGGAATAAGTGTTTGAGATTACTGTGCGTTATTTTCTTTCATGGGCTCCCAGTTATTAGATAAAGGCAATGGGTAAATCTTCACTATTGGACGTTTTATTATGCCATTTGGGGTTTTGAGGATACCCGATAAATAAAGATGAATCGATTTCCGATTTAAGTGGCAGTCTAACAATGTATTTTCCTCCTCAGACCTCTTACGTGTATTTTGATAGAATGACTCACACCAACTAACCTCGGATAATACATGAATCGTCTATGCTTTCAAGCTCCCAAAACCGGCGAAGTAAGTTGCCAATTTCGACATTCATATTTACTGTCAAGTGGTAAGAATGCCTTAATGTGGGTGTAAATTTAAAACTTTTACCGGATACAATATACTCAAACGTTTTCTTTTGCGCAATAGGAAAACCGTTACCTCCCCGGCGTACCTCGTTCAAAACACACTCGGCGTACACATCGCTGCCTATTAAAACGTCTACAGATTGCGGTTCAAAGAACATAGGATCCGCGAGGGACAAATCAGTTAGATGCTTTAAACCTGTAAGATTTTTTGTTGTTGGTAGGGTTCCGCACATCTAGGTAAAATATAAGCTAGAGTGTGATATTGAATATTTGAATCTAGCCTAGAGCCGAAAGATGTATTTGTACAATAACGCCCGTTGGTTACCTTAGAGCCTGATAAGCCCGTTATATTGACGTCAACTCTTTTGCGTGAGAGCCCCAGAATTTGCATTGCCCTCTCGGATAAAAACGTAGCTTGAGAACCCTGATCTAGCAGCGCGCCCCCGGATCAGCGTCGTCGAGAAGGGCCATGGAACAGGCGCGATAAAGCCCACGAGTACAAAGCTGAACAACCAGTAGCTTTGGAGCAGGAGCACGGCCGCCTGTACGCCCTAATATTGCTGGGTGGAAAGCCGGCGGAAGCCGTCATCGACACTGGTGCCTCGAGGAGTTTTGTGTTTGTCAGCCTGGCGGAACGCATTGTCAGCTCAGGGAATGGGGAGAGAATAAGCGTGGCTTTAGGAATCCTTATGGCCGATGGCACCAGTAACCAAATATCCGATGCAATGCCTGGAGCATTGATGACATAATCCTGGGCCTGGACGCACTGGGAGGCATGG